ATTTGACTAAGTGCATTGTTTTAAGATTTAAAAAGTAAAGAATATTTTATATTTTTATGTACGTTTCTTTACAAAGCTATATTTAATTATAATTTTCTTTAAAAGTATATTCATACAATTGAAAAATATTTTGTACCAGGTATGTACCGGTACATCCATCACACATTTTATTTCACCGTATAAGTTTTTATTATTTTATTTTTAATTGTAGCCCTTATATCGTGGCTAGAGATTCGGAATGTAATTGTGATATTAAAAATGCATTTAGAGAAGTCTACGATTTTTACTGGCTTATCGAATAAACGATACGAATGGACCCTAGAGGCCTAGACCATCACTGAGGCGCAATTGACTGATTACCCCTGGATGTCGGCTTCTTACAGAAACACAGCTTCCCTATCATCAAATGTCACGGCACGCCACTGATATATGTATATAACTCATCCTTACTCTCAAAATTAAGCTTTTTGCCATGTTATAATAATTTAAAATATAAACAGTTTTTTTAATGAAATATCGGAACAGATAGCGCCACCAGAATTTTAAATGTTACCGGGAAAGTTAAGCGATTCGTTGCTGGCTTTTTACATTTAAATGGACCCACATTACATTTCTGGATTCCTCGTCTCAATTAATGGAAAGTTTTATCAAAATCGATCCATTAAATTTTGAGAACGAGCTCAATTCTATAAGCACATACAAGACGTGCTAGCGACTGTGAAACATCGCACGACAAAGTCGCGCGCTGGTGAAACGACCTTATATTTCGAAAACGAAGCCATGAACCCCACTTTTTATTGCATTATTTGCCGTTGCTAGCATTAATCATCTATTAGAAAGCAATAAATACGTCTTGGCTATCAGTCTCGATATCGCCAAGGCATTCGATTCTGCCTGGTGGCATCTAATATTGAATAACCTCCAAAAGTTGAACTGCCCTGCCAATATATTCTATATTATTAAGGATTTCCTAAATGACCGCACCGCTACACTTCAATGTGGGGGGCACACAGTTTCTCGCAAAGTTGTCCGCGGTTGTCCACAGGGCTCGGTATGTGGTCCCATTCTATGGAACGTTCTATTTAATCTCTTTCTTACTCAAGACTTCGGACAACATAATATGATAGCTTACGCTGACGATGTTTTGGTACTTTTTGGTGGTCAATCTCGTTCAGCACTTGAGCAGCACGGTAATACTATTCTTAATAACATTCTAACCTGGGGAAATCAACATAAACTGGATTTTAATCCTAACAAGACTAAGTGTATAGTATTCAATAAACCTGGCCATCAAAACCTTTACCTCCGTACTCCTTGCATTAAAATGGGTGGTCATACCATAAAAGTAGATAAAACTATTAAATATTTGGGCGTGATCTTGGACCACCGCCTCTTGTGGAATTCACATATTGAATACATAACTCAACGTACAGGGAAAATCTTTAACGCTTTTGCAAGTATTGCGAGAGGTCGTTGGGGACTTGCCACTGAGGCGATGGATGCAATTTATAATCAGATTTATATTCCAATCATTACTTATGCTTGTGGAATTTGGGGAGGTGATGTTTATAAGACTCATATAAAGCGTAAACTTATTTCGTCACAACGTAGAGCTCTTATTCAGATCACCAAGGCCTACAATACCACGCCCAATATCTCTATTCAAGTTCTGGCTAAGAAAGCCCCTATTGATCTTATCATCACCTCCTATTTTAAACAATGGCAAATAAAGCATGGCCTTGATATTTATACTAGCAACCAACAAATAAGTCACACCGACTTGGAACAAGAAATTTCTTTTGTCATTTATTCACAATCTTTGGCCCTTTCGTCCACACCGTCAATCGTCTTCGAGCAACCCTCTTACAATGATTACGAAATCTTTACGGATGGTTCGAAAACAGATATAAAGGTTGGTTGTAGTTATGTTGTTTACCAGAACGGGCAGGAGATTGCTCTGGGCCAGTTCAGATTGGGTGAACAATGCACTATTTTTCAAGCAGAACTCTATGCCTTGAAAATGGCCATTACTTGGGCTAACAATGTCCAGCATAAACAAATAGCTATCATTACTGATAGCTCTTCCTCTATTGCAATCCTTCGTAAAAGATCCTTTCACCCAATCGTTTATGACATTAACACTCTCATTTCCAAGTCTTCCAATCGATATTATATTTACTGGACTCGTGCACATATAGGTACCCATGGTAACGAAAGAGCTGATGCCTTAGCTAAGGCAGCTTCCAACGATAATAGTCTTAATATCTCTTATGATAAAATCAGCACCAGTACTCTCAAAAGAATTCTCTGGCAGGATCTCCTATTAACTTGGCAAAACACCTGGGACCAACATAACCACCCTATTACTCATAGATTTATACCTTGTATCAAGACCTTTTTTACATACAAATGGTACAGACCTAATAGTTTTGTTACGCAATTTCTTACCGGCCATGGTCGCTTTCAATCTTATCTAGCGAGATTCGTTAACGCAACCAGTTCAATGTGCTCCCTGTGTGGTGTTACAGATAGTAATGTGCACTACATTTATGAGTGCCCCATGCTTAATTTGGAGCGACATATACTGATTACCACTATTAATTCACATGGCCATAACTGGTCTGACTATAACACAATCCTTCGTGAAAAAGACTCATATGAGGCCTTTTTCGACTTAATCACCAAATACTTTGCACGTACAACAGTCAGTGGCTTTTAGTCAGCTTTGTACTCAATCACTCTCTTGAGTATGATACGATACCATCTTATTCCGATTCATCAAATAATTCTAATTTCAGCAGCCATCATGTTACACATCATAAGCCTCAGGATGTCTGGCATAAGTCTAATTTATCCTGATTATTCAGTAGTTATTCTCTACCAAAGTGTACTGTTTACGTGCGGACAGATGATCAAGACTGCAGCACTAAGTTTACAGTACACAATATATACATTAGTGCTGAAGAACATTTTTCTTCATCCTATTTTGCTTATGGCTGTCTCTTTTTAAGGATGGACTTTGTGTATTGGTGTCGAATGTGACTGGATTTTAGCTGAAATCGCACCAAGCACAATCTTCGAGACACCGCTCGATCGTCAGTGTTTTCTGTATTGTATTGTATTGTGTTATTGTATTGTGTACCTATTACGCCTGTGTATTTTACCTTTATATTATAATTAATTATGTATTTTGTAACACCTATATCTATCTGTATCTTTATTATTGTAATTTGTTATCACCGGGTAGTGCTCACTGCGGAACCCGGCATGTACTATTGTGTGCGTTAATAAAGAAATGAATGAAAGAATGAATGCATTTTTGAATTCCGCATCGCAATTAATGGAAAATGGCAAAATTTAATCGAAATCGATCGAACGGATTTTAAGAACGAAAACAATCCTGTAAGCCTCATGGAAGATTCGGTAATGCTCCGCTTCAATAAACTTATTTAAGTGCTATATTTTTGAACAGTAATTTATTTATTTACTTAAATTCTGAAGGACAGCGTCATTAACCTAAATAGGAACATTATCAAGCTTTACTTGCCCTGGATTCCAGAACATATTTATCTAAACACTTTTCAAAAATTGAAAGTTAAATTGCCTACCCAAGTATTTTTCTTTTAGAATAAGTACACAATGGATAATGGTATTTATGATTTATCTTAAAAATTAGATAAATCTATGTCACTTAGGTCACTTTGAAATTTTATTTTTAAAATACTTTAATTTATTATGTAGTTATTTAGCAAGTCAAATTGCAGATGGGCTGAAGTTTTATACTCACAGAGTAACATCAATATTACTAATTGGTTACTTATTATTTTATAGGTACTTAAAGATAATCTCAAATAGTTGAACACCTGGAAAACAGTGTTAAAAACAAGCAAACCTTACCAGAAGAATTTTTAACTCTCCAAACAGCTGAGGGTCTGCAATAGGGTTTCTTTCCCGGGATCCCGGGAAAAGAAATTATTTTTCCCGTAATCCCACTGGAGGCAAATTTCCCGGGAAATGAGAAACCCTAGTTTGCAAGTTACTTTAATGTAAGCTATAGATCTGATTCGGTACTTTCTATATGACTGCAATTACAGATATTTTAACAGGAAATTAATCGAAATTCTCTTGAGGTAAGCATATAAGCTAAATAAAAAAAATATGCATCAATTAGATCAGAGATTTCAAACTTCTGCCAATAAAATTTGGAGTTTAACAATAAAATCCGTTGAGTAACAATGTATGAATGTGCAAATGCAGATTTGGGACGGGAGGTATAATTGTTGAAGCCTCGGATCGAGTCCTCTGATGATATCCTATACACGTGTTAGAGTTATTTACAGTTTTGTAAATACAGTAGTGGAGACTGATTTATCTGTAACGGAACAAACCGAAATCATGGTATAATGTTTGACAAGATAATGAAAACCACAGAAACGGTAAAACTTAACCTAAAGCTAGAAAATCATTTAAAAAATAACCTTAAAACTATCCAACCTACAAATCATAATAAAATCGTTAAATATGCTTTAATTCGTCGATATCTGCAGAGCAAGCCTATTGAATCTAATGACGGGAGTGGCTAGTCAGATGCCGATGGTACTGCACTGTACTTACTACGATACTAGTGACGGGACACTCAGCGTCACGTGTCGCCAAGGGACACTAAGAGGCCTCTTTTACCAAGCTATTGTGGTTTCGGCCACCACCCACAATGGAGCGGCTGAGTGGTGAGGGACGAGGCCTAGACATATCCGGACGGACCACCCCCAAAAATTCCCGGGGATTTTTTGACTCGTCCGGATTTGATCTCAGGTTTCCCTAAGCGGTAGGATGCCACTTCGACCCTCGGCCATCCGGCCGTCTGTGCTTTTAGTATTGTGTATACCCTAAATTAAAAAATCACGGAACGTTGGCTGAGAGAGGTTTTGAAGAAAAATGTAGCAAGTATAGTACTTCAAATGTTTCCAGTGACAAGGAGACTGAAAAGATGGATACAAACGAAGGTACAAATCCAGGCACTAGCATTACAGTATTTAAAATATTCAAAGAAAAGAAGTTTAATCCTTCAGATTAATGACTAGTTTGAATTAAGTAATAATAATGCCTTTCCATTATTAATATGCTTTTTTTCCATTTTCAATCAATTGTTTTTGGTGTTTCTATTTGCTGTTTTAAATATAATCATTAAAAATTTTCAGGAACGCCGCGATAAAAATAAGTTGGAAATTGCTGAATTAAATTAATTTTTGTATGTTAGCGTTTCTTTGATACAATTCATCAAGCTGGTGGAGGAAATGATCATCCAGCAGTATGAACCTCCAGTATGTAATACCCCGTTCGCACCGAGCATTTCGATCTAGATTGTGACTAAGGTCGGAGAGAGTTCCGTGGTGCGAACGCTCTCGACCGTTTCAATCTCGACTGAAACGAGGTTCAATCGCGATCGACTGGAGAGAATTCTCGAAACTAGATCCAGTCATAAGAGAGATCCCACAATCCCACGCGCGCGAGAAAATACAAGATGGCTGCGGAACACGTGTTGGGTTATCGACAGATAAATAAAAAAGACATCTGGAGAGACGACGACATCTGTCTATTATTAGATGTATGGCAAGAAAAAGTATTTATTTCTAACCAAAACTTCCATTTTGTTTGTTGGTGTTTGTGACTTACCGCGTAGTTACGTCAGTTTTATGATCGCGTGTAATAGCCAGGTTCTTCTCGAGCGGACTGCCTGTGCGAACAGTACGACGTTCGAGTAGCGACAGTCACAATCCAGATTGTAGGTAAATCGAGATCGAAGTGAGTCGTGGATTGTGTGCGAACGTAGTATATTACTACGTTCGCACACAATCCACGACTCACTGGGGTTAGTATATTTTGTTCACCCTGTTTGAATCTTAATAACTCCTGCGCTTTTTGTCGAAAATTTCTGAAATTTTACGGGGAGGTTTGTTTTTTAGGGGAATTGATGCTATTAAATTTCGGTGATTATAGGTTGGCGGGAGATAAAGAGTCGTCATATGTCGTATCTAGAGTAGGGTCAGACTTAATGACGATTTTACTAGTTATTACCATTTAAAATTTTTTTAAAAATAAAACCCATTCCTACTCTCAAAATTAAACTTTTTGAGATATGTTGAGATATGTCTGGATATGTTGGGCTCCGTCCTTCACCACCCGGCCGATCATTGTGAGTCTGGCCGAACTCATAAGGAGATTGCCAAAAAGGCTCGCTTAGTGCCCACAACATAAAAAGAACAAAAAATGAAAAATAAGCTAAAAACATTAGTTACAAATTAATCATTTCATTGCAAATTTTTGTATTGAAGAAAAAATTCCCTTTATTTCAAATCAAATTTCATATTTTAAACTTCTAAATAAATTTAGTAAACGCCGTTTTCTGTGTTTAACATGCGGGAAAATCTCAAAAAAAAAGAACCAGATCCAAATTTTGAAAAGCCGATGCAGAAATATAAATACCGGATCTTTTCAAGACACCAAGACCCGAGTAATAACCAAATGATGGGTCACTCCGAGCACAGATCGCACACCAATAAATCGACTGTCAAAAGGAGTCTCGAGTCTCTCTCCACTTCTGAGAGGCCCTGTTAACTAGTTTGATCAAGATCCAGTAATCGGCAACCATATATTTATCCATGCCTGAAGCCTCTAAAAACGAAAGATTATATTGTCTCAAACTTTTCGGACTGCCGCTCCTTTATAGTGCACATATTTCTTATACTGTATTTATATATAATTGTTTAAAAACTAATTTTTGTCCCTTATCTTCCAACACTCGTACTATCCCTTGCCTTCCACCACCTCTTGAGTCTTCTACTGCCCTTGAGTAAAAGTAATAGCTTTATGTGCCGTCTGCACCTTAAGCTGCTATTGTATAAGGAATTTTCTATGTTTATTATTTAGAAATTAATTTATTGTGAATGCTGACAAAGAGATTGAAAGAAATTAATATTTTCAAACTAAAATACAATTTACAATAATCAAAAATCGATAAGCAATATCCTGAATGGTTTACTCATTCGATACTTTAGCTTAGTTTATTAGTTCAATCACCCTCGTCGTTCGGCCGATTGATATTTGGCAAACAAAAAATGAATTTAGAGTATGCCTGATTGAATTTGGTCACGTCATAAAAGGAAGGGAAGGTTGTTAGCATTGTCTCTATCGATCCTCCATCTTGTCTTATTATATTAAGCTAAATTAGGACGTGGGTAAATATTTTCTTCCTTACATTGATTTAGTATCGAAATAACATATAAGTGATCGAAGAGATAATTAATTAAGTATTAAAATATGAGATTTGTTCAACAATTTTCTGATTGGTCATCGATATCTCAAAAGTCTGTCAGTTACGCTTTATATTATATGTCATTTCAAATTTGATCTAAATAGATAATGTATATCCAATCATATAGATAATTTGTGTGAATGCAATGTGATATAACACGTTTATTATTATGTTACTGATGTGTAATTTGATACTGTCCGGCAGTGTTCCTCCGCCTACTCTTTCCCTATTGGTTGGCAAGAGTTTAAAAATCCACGAGCACGAGTTTTCCTAAAATTTCCAACATTAATATCTCATGTTACAGGCACAAAAATCAAGCGATAATATCCGAAAATCGCGTTATGGAAAATTTGTATCCATTTTTACCTTGTTTTTGCCATTTTTCTAACAATTATATGTCGAAACCGATTAACTATTCGTGCCCAATACCTTACTCTAATTTCGATCAGCAAGAGAAAACAGGTAAACACGTGCTCCTCTTATAATTATCACTAAATGCACGTAAAGATAGAGCACGTTATGCACCAGCTAAATTATTATTGTTTTTTTTGGCTATTATAACGCCATGTAAATCTGTATTTTGATAGTGAGTAAAGTTTTTCTTAATAATGTAGCATGTGCGTAGTGGAATAGAAATTTCTAATGATTTTTTTTAATGAAAAAGTCCTCATGGGCTGCAAAATTTAGATATTTTTACGGGTACTAAGTGGGGATCGTTTTTCTTTTACTCTTTCCGCCTGAAGACATTAAGTGAGTCTTTTAAAGAAAAATTATACCTATTATGGGTTCGGCCAGATCTAGAATGGGGAGGGCCAAACGTATCCAATACGTATATACTTCAGGACAGCCGGTAAAGTTTTCTCTCTCTGAAGAATATTCCTCAGAAGTCTTCACAGATAGTTTCATCCGGACTCCATTTCTCACTACTCTTCCCACATTGTAGGCCCTGCGGGTCTTTTTGAAGATTTTTGAAAAATTATATAACTATTTTTTATTTTATCTATGAAGTAATTATGTTAATTGGATTGATGGTATTAGGAACTCACGCGCGGGCTATATGCCAAGAGGACGATATATGCCTTCCGGGAGGTGGTTTATGATCCCTATTTAGGTCTTAGATACCTGAAGAAAACCCGGAATATCCATTCGGCCAACCCTTAGAGCGAACCTGCGCCTAACTATTAGTGTCCAGTTTTTTGTTTTAATTCATTCGGTGTGCTCTGATTGTGTTATCTAATATTTTCTTTGTCCTTCACCACCCGACAGCCCCTTCGTAGGACTAGCCGAACCATAATGGATTTGCTAAAAGGAGGCCATCTTAATGCCCATAGGACGGAAAGAGTTAAAAAAAAAAAAGAATATTTTCTATGTGAGATTCTAATATTAAAACCGTATTTTTGATTATTCATTCTACTGTAAGTTATATGTTTTTAAAAATGGAGCACGTTTAAGAGTGCTTATTTAACATTTGTGTTACGTAATTTGACTATTAAATATCACGAACATTCTTCACTTCTAATTGAGTTTATATTGAGCAAATTCTATAGCACAATCGAACGATTTAATGCATTTCTATTGACTTTCGAGCCATGCTTAAGTGACTCAAATCGACAATAAAATCTTCTATTGTTGCGACGTGGATCGATTGATTCGTGAGCGATTTACTCACTTTTCTTAACTCGGTTTCGCGTGGCCACTGTGACATGTTCTTGTTTCATGTTTTAACAGTTAATGATTAGTTAAAAATTCACGAAAAGTACAGAAAACTCATCGTGGTATTGAAAATTACTGAAATTCTTTGTGGAAAAGTACAACTCTCGTGCTGTAGCTTACTGAAAATATTATATTGAAACAAGTATCTATGTAAACGTTTCCCTAGACATGCACGAATGCAAACAGTGTAAACGTTTGTGTGCACATCAATTTAATAAAATAATTGCTGGCAGAGATAATTGGTAAATTGTTTGTCACTGCCGCATAATGAATAACTTAATGAATACTTCGTATTATTAAAAATAAGTTAAATATAATAATACATTTTTAAACCTAATTAATTTATAAGGTAATTTATAAAATTGTTAAAATATTTCAAACGAAATATTAATTAATTACGCTTTCTATAGCGTTATCGTCTACAACGACACACGTTATATCGAAATGTATTTTGCTTCGAGTTAAATTAAGTTCGATTATTCTTAAAAACAATTGTTATAATCGGTGTTAAAGTAAGAGTTAGACAATATTATGATCGATCGCTGAAGATAGGGAAGTCGTGTTGGCCATTAAAGCGATCGAGGTTAATTAAATTACTATAATGTTTTCGTTTAATTTATTGTTGATACAAAATATTCAGCTCCGTTTAGTCCAGAGTAATATAATTTAGTCTAGACACCTGAACGACTTCCGAGGGGATGACCGCGGGAGGACTACGGAAAGTGGCCCCTATTTATAACCCATTAGGTGTTATAAACGGGAAGAAAACCCGGAAAACTCCACGTTGGTGAGGTGCAAACCCAGGACCAAGTTCCAGTGTTCAGTGGTTTTATCCACTTGGCCACTGGTGAGAATGTGGCAGTTAGGCCCTAAATACAGAGCCCATGATTATTTTAATGATCTTTTGAAAAATTTATTCTATTAACAAATGGATTGACAATGATAAAAGAATCCTGTCTATCATTGTCAATCATAATT